CATCCAAAAACAAACTCCAGCATATTCAGTTATCAAATACGACTGGAGCTTCAAACGGGTCTGGCTTCTATGGTCAGGTGAAACTAAAAAAAGAGCTTTTTGGCAGCAAACCCACCAGATGGGTTTAGTGCAAACAGGGATAAAAAGTACCCCATGCCCACGGTTAAATGTATTGCTGGATGTTTAATGTTGTAAGCCAGTTTTTCTGCCGGAGGTCCTGGATGTCTTATTCAGATACATGGCATCATGAATTCTATCAAATACCAACAAATAAAAAATCTAAACCTGACTGCCTCTGTTAGAAATCTTCTCTGATCTCTCGTCAGGTGTTCTCCAAACTCATCAGGCATTATGGGAGAAAACTCAGAGCTGTTATCTTGGGAAAAGGACGTTGCAATAATTGGGTGCCATCATAATGAGATTTTCCCCCACTTTCCATTGTTTTACTTCAATGATAGGTTAGAATTTTGTGAATGAAAGATCATGCAGAATTATTATTATTATATATATATATATATATATATATATATATACATGCACACACACACACACACAATTTATTTAGTTATTTAGAATGTTATATTCTATATGAACTATATTTCAGTTGATGATCAATGACATGTTTAAAGACTTTCTATTCCTGTTTGCTGGAATTAAAAATATTTAACTTTTTAAGAGTTTCAGACCTTTAATTTGTGCTCGACTCATGAAAATTGCCAAATATTGAGTCATAAACACAGCACTCTACATGTTAAGCAGCATCTTTTCTCTGTGTTACCATCTGCATATGTTCACCTTTCTTCAGTTGTTGTGAGTTAGTTCGCTCCCCCTCACCTCATTTCAGACTGTATAAATGATGGAGAACAGATCCCAGCAGGACACTGGGTTGTGGGGTGATGCTCCTGCCGTGAACTCCGAATGCACTGGCATCTCCAGCATTGTGTTTCATTGCACAGGTCATGTGGCCGGGGTGAAAGCAGTTGGCTTTTGTTATTTGCTGATTACAAGACAAATACCTGATGCGACTGGTTTTTGTGCTTACAGAGAGAACTGACAGGCAAAACTAAAAAAGGAAACTATAACCTTTAGAAATTTTAATGACAATGTTGTCATGATTTACTCACACTCTTGTCATTCCAAACCCATTTTCTGTTATTTTCATTTCTAGATAGTTCTAGAACTATTCCTTTGATCTGCTCCTTTAATCTGTTAAGAGACTGAGAAACTTGAGGCAGGAACATTTATTGCTCAAAGATTACTCTTTTAATGGATATTTTAACATTTCTCAGATGTTTCGCCTAAAATTTGTTAGGAGAGATAAAAATAGACACAAATTGTTGACACAGTACTGGATCTATAAAATGTGTATAGCAACTCAGATATTTTTTAAGGTCCATCTTAAGTTCTTTTCATTGCAGACTTTTCTGAAAATCTAGATCAGTGTTTCTCAACTTTTGTTTCAGGTGGTGAGCTGTTTTTTACCCACCAAAACCTCTAGACACAGCTAAGCTTGGGGTCCAGAGAAAATCTGAGAAGCAGGAGACTATAACAAAGGTATATTTGTTTCAAATGAATATGCTTGCTGTCTAGAAGAAACTGTTTCGATATTAAAGATTTGTGATTTTTCTTTCCTGCATGTTTCACAGTCTATATGCACTACCATTTAAAAGTTTGGAGTTGGTAAGATTTTTTAAAATGTTTTTGAAAGAAGTCTCTTATGCTCACCAAGGCTTCATTAATTTGATCAAAACTACAGAAAAAAACAGTAATATTGTGAAATAATATTAGTATTTAAAATTTATTTTTATTTGAATATTTTTCAAAATGTAATTTATTCCTGTGATGGAAAGCTGAATTTTCAGCATCATTACTCCAGTCTTCAGTGCCACATGATCCTTCAGAAATCATT